CACAGCCCTAAAAAAGTTTAAAAATCAACGTGGTCATATAACCAGCGACCGGTACGATGAGCTAGTCAGGGATATCCTAAAAACGGCGTACCAAACGCACCAGGATGATAACGACAAAAACGCACCTGCCGTTCCCGCCGTGGGCATAGACCTTGGTACTACCAACTCCTGCGTGGGCTACTATAAGCCAGGTCGTCAAAACGCTGGACAGGTAGTCATATTCAAGAACCGGCACAACTCGGAGGTGACCCCCAGTTGCGTGGAGTTCCGCGACAATAGTGAACACCCGGTGGTGGGCCAGGAGGCTAAGGATAACCGACTGGCGAACCCCCGTAATATCATATTCAGCGCCAAACGACTCATCGGTCGCAAGTATGACGAGCCGGAAGTGGACAGGGATTTCGTGGCGCCCGACACTAAGCTCTACCCCTTCCAAGTGGTAGACGTGGGTGACAATGACGCGGGTGTGGAGGTCGAGGTGGACGGTATGGTCGCCCAGTTTTTGCCGGAGGAGGTGTCGGCCCACGTGCTCAGGAAGATGAAGGAGGTGGCGGAGGAGAAGCTAGGCTTTCCCATACAGAATGTGGTGATAACTGTGCCTGCTTACTTCATGGACGCCCAGAAGGAGGCGACTAAGAGTGCGGGGGTTATGGCCGGCCTTAATGTGCTAAAGATTATCAATGAGCCCACGGCCGCCGCACTGGCCTATCAGTTGGACAGGTTTGAGGGGATTGAGGCCCGGTATGTGAACATGTTTAATTAGTTTTTAGTTCAAATTTAGCTAAATAATGATATTATATTTAGATTTTAGTATACGGTATATATATTTTTTGTGTGTATATATTTTATATGTATATATATATATATATATATTCTTAGTTTATATACTGATTAAATATAAACAGGCGTATTTTAGTATTTTTATGGTGAATTAGTACAAATTATAAACTGTGCTAGCACATGTTTTATTAATTATACAATTTTTAAATTAAACCTTAATAACAATGTCCAGGAAAGTGCTGATATACGATTTTGGTGGAGGGACATTCGACGTGGCTGTACTCAAGCTGGAAAAGGGTAAGGTGGAGGTGTGCGCGTTCGGTGGGGACAACCATTTGGGCGGTGATAACCTGGACAACAATGTCATTAACTACTGCCTCCAGGAGTTCTTTGCGCAGACGGGTATCCTAATAGACAGGACCAGCGCTGAAGGGGAACGGGCTCTCAGGCTATTGAGGTATTCGTGCGAACGGGAGAAGTGGTTACTGTCGGAGGCCATGTCGGCCAACATTTCCGTCGACAATATTGTCAATGGACAGCACCTGGAGGTCAGACTCACGCGCGAGAAGTTTGAAGAGCTTAATGAACGCGAGTTTCAACGGACTATCGATCGCGTGGATGATGTGCTGAACGGCGCCGGTATGTCAGTCGATGACATCGATGATATTGTTTTGGTGGGCGGATCTACCCATATACCAAAGGTTAGGGAATTGATCAAGGACCATTTTAAGGGCAAACAACCCTCGTCCAGAGTGAACCCATTACAGGCGGTGGCTGAAGGTGCCGCTATCCAGGTGAGTTTTTTAAATTAAATTATTTGTACAATATAAAAACAGTTAGAGCATATAAATTTACAATTTTACATACGTTAGGCGGCGTGCACAAAGTACATACGCACTGCTAGGGGGGAGGGGGGGTCAATTTTTGACCAAAATTTTGCGTACGTACTTTGTGCACGCCGCCTTAACAAGATATTTTCTAGAAAAATAAATATCAAAATGCTTATAAATTTTATATCCCAGGCCGCTATACTAAACGGAAATCAGGCGCAAAAGCACCGGAACCTCCGCGTACTGGACGTCACCCCACACGCCATAGGCGTCAAGACTACCGGTGACGTGATGTCGTCCATAATCCCGGCCCGGTCTCCCGTCTGCACAGTGTTTACCAAACAATACAAGACTATTGTCGACAATCAGCCCGAGATAGAGGTGGAGGTGTATGAGGGCGAGAAACCCGTGGCCTCCCATAACAACCTGTTGGGCAAGTTTATGGTGACAAACATACCGCCCGCGGAGGCCGGGAGGGAAATCATATCAGTCATGCTATGTGTCAATGATGACGGCATATTGAAGGTTAGGGCTGAGGTGCTGTCGAAGGGAACGGTACATGAGATTGAGGTGACGGAGCATAAGGGACGGCTTAGTATGGAGGAGCTGCTGAGGCGCCGGCATTGAGCACCGGGAGGCTAGGGTTTCAGTGATATTATTGCTATTTTGTGATTTATAATTAATTTGAAATATTGAGTTTTATATTATATGTATGGTTAGTATTTAACCATGGTAAACTATACTATAATTAAATGAATTCATTGAAATTGTCTGAATTATTTGCATTCATTATATAATAGATCTGTCGACAAATTTTTAAAATATTAATTATAACTTATATAATAAATAAATATTTTTCTTGAATTCCTTAATAAAATATAATATTGTAAATAATCACTGCCAATATTTTTAATTATTTAAAATTTATTAATTTATATCATTCCCAGTAATAATTCAAACCACGTTTATGATAAATGATAAATAGTTGTTAATTATAATTTTATTATACTAATTATAGTTTTAATTTTAAAAATTCAATGTTAGTGAGTGAGTGATTATTTTTAATAGAGGCCTAGGTGGTTTTCATATATTTTGTAAAGTTTTCAGTAACATTAATAAACATTTTTATTCATTCAATAAATTCGTATTCAATTAAATCATACAATCAACATAAATAACGATCGATTACAACATAAAAACATTGATCATTTATATAACACATTTACTTTGAAAATTATTGGTATATTTTTAAAAAATTTAAAAACGCATAATTATCAAGGTAGAATCGTCCAAATGATCATTTGCATTCATCTTGACCATGATTGTGGATCCACTCGCAACCCTCTTTGCACCCCTTTTCCGGTATGGCCCGCACTCTTGGAATAGTCTTTTCGTGCTCTTTCTCCACACCCTCGCAGTGGTAGATAACCATATCATCGCACCCGCCGCTCAGTATTTCGCCCACCCCTGGCCTCCCACCGTAATTACCCCTACGGGTGCCGCACCAATTGCCTCCGTAATTGCCACATGTGCAGGATGTGTCTAAAAGTTTAATCAATTTATATAATACATTCGGATTAAGTATGTGCTTAGCTTGATGAATTTAGATGAACAGTTTTTGAGCCTTAACCTTTTATTGCTTATCAATTACATAGTATATTAATAAATATGATTTTTCTTATATTGTTAGTTATATGTTTAAGTCTCAGTTAAACGATTTTATATTTAATAACTATATACCAGTAGTTATATTATTTGTTACCTTCACGACCATCTTGAGCATCAGTGTTCTTTATATATAAGCATCCAAACAAACCTAGATTATAATTAATATCACTAATTACTATATGACTTTATGTGAATAAATTAATTAACACTCTTATAATACTATATCTTTTAAACTATTGTTTTATTATACTGCTCTTAGTAATTTGCAAATACACTTATAAAATATCTATGTAATGTAGTAAATGTTTATTTCTCACCAAGAATAATTGCTGATACAATTAATAGCTTCATTGTGTACAGTATAGTTGCAAATGTGGTTAATTTCAATGCACACGTGGTTAAGGTTACCAAATAAACTATTAAATAATTTAATTTAGAAAATTGATTTTTATCAAATATTAACCATTTAATTTATTTACTATTTCTTAAATTTAATTAAATACATATTTTCAAGAAATTACGATCAATAACAAATTTTAGAAAATTAAGTTATTTCTTAATTAGTAATAGAAAAAACTAAAGTTTATAATAAAAAATAAAACTAGTGTTGTGAGTTAATAAAACCATTAATAATTATTAATAAAAGAGTTTCAACACTAGTTAACACTTTTGGTACAGATTGGCACTCGTAGGTTCATACGGTAATAATCTATATTGGTAATTTACAATATAGCAATTTAATACATTTTACTTTGTGGATAAATAATTTACCGAATTAATAAAAGTTATTCAGTATTTTGTAGTTTTTAGTTTTTAAAATATTTTAAATAAAATTATAAACAAATAATTTTTACACCTTAACTCTAGATATTTATGATCCGGGACTGGACTCGACCCGACCCACCCCATGGTCTAGAAGGGGGTCAGAACTACCAAAACGCCAAATTTGAGATCAAACCCAAACAAAAACCTACCGCCAAAAGGTCCTGGAAAATAATTATCGAATTTTAAAAATATTTATTATAACTTTTGTAATAAATAAACATTTTATTTAAATTTTTAAATATAATATAATATTGTAAATAATAACGACAAAATTTTTGTTTATTTAAAATTTAATGTCTGTTACACAAACATGTGTGTGTGAGAGAGAGAGAGAGAGAGAGAG